ACAAATGTCTAGGATATAAAAGGACCGGATTGGAGGTGAGCAGGGGTCTGATGATCAAGCAACCTACCGGGCGATCTGGTTCCAACCGATCAACCTATCAACCGAGCAGTCGGAACAACCAGCAACGAATCGAGGAATCGGGTAGCCGGTCAGTCTGATCAACAATCAACCTACCGAGGAGTTGAACCACGAGGAATTTGGCGACCAACCAACTAGCAAGCAACCAATCAACTAATCTATCGACCGAGCAGGCAGACCAATCAACCAAAAACCAACCAGCCAATCATCCAACAAACAAATCAACTAAAACTAAACCAGGTAATCCAATTCCACGTTCAATCCAAGTTTCATAACAGAAAGCATCAGAACTGGAACTTGAATGAAGCGATCTTAAGCTTTTTCCATTGAAGAGAAATTTCTTCTCTGATATTGCCATTCACGATTGTTAAACTTTTGATGTAACTAAACTTCAGAGTTCGTGAAGTACTCCTGATAGTGAAAGGAATGTCAGACATTTGAAAATTTCATAAAGTCGCACATCAGACATTTCATTTTACCATTCAGGATAGGATTTTCTCGAATCATCTGATTTCGGTGTTAAAAAGAAGAGTAAAGCGTCTTGTCCGAAAAAATCTAAACATCTTCGTGGGTAACAAAACTAAAATCTAAGAAATATGAAATAAACATAACCGTCACATAGATGTCATGTACAGGAAATTGAATTTGCGGAATGCATATTCTCGAACTTTTATTATATAAAATACAAAATATAATTGAAACTATATTAGCGTAACCAATAGTAACTAATACAAATTTACAACCAATTTTGGAGCAAACAAATTCTCTCATTTATTATTCATTTCAAAAACCTTCAACACTAATACAAATATATTCACGAAAATGTCTAGGAACAAAACCATCAAATGTTTTAAGTAATCATTGCAAATAATTATTCACTCAATGTAGCAACATATCTGTGGAAAGCATTATATGTAGTATTGCATATAACACTTTCCATAATACGGAACACAAGTGAATAAATTTCAGAGATCACTTGACCTGATCTATCATCAAATTACAATTCTCAATTTATATTTTAATGTGTAGACTAGACCACAAATTTTCTAGCGTTAGCTCCTTGCTGGATAGCGACTGAGCTATATACAAGTGGTACGATATATTCAAAAAGATTTCAATAGCAGATATAAGCCTAATATTGTAGCAATGTATGAAAAAAGAGCCATGAAATAATTGACACGTGAATGTATTTTCGAACTCCTAAATTCATCCTACGATAACATAATTTGTTTTTAAAGCATCATTCCCAATTAGTTATTCATTCATTAGAAAATGTCTTTGTATGAAATTTGATCACATGCAATTTGAAATCTTAACATTATGCAAAAAAAACGTTCTACAACTAATTGATAAAACTTATTCGAAATGAGATATTGACTCTTCTTGGTCGTGAAAGGCTAACTGGGTGAAGGATTATTTTCTGCGAAAGGCACTAATGCCACAGGATGATGGTTAGTTGTCTTATTAAGGTCTTAATAACAGAAACATACAATCAGCACCACTGTGATGGATTCATAACTGCTTTCTATATTCTTCATCACAGATAAATTCATCACTCTTAAAAGTCCCAAAGCACGAACAGACAAATAAAGATGTACAAAGAGAAATCCAGGTATTAAGCGAATGGAACTTATCAGCTTTTCTAAATTAACTGAAATTGAACTCTACTGTAGATTAGGTAAATGTCAACAATATTAAATTAGTAGTAATTGGATCGTTAAAAAATAAAACAAATGCACTTGAGATACTTGTGTTCAATGAGTCAAATTTACACACATATTTCAAATAAGCGTAAAAATGGATGTACCACTATCTATTCCTCTTTTCAAAAGGGAGGTATCTCAATGCCATTTCACTTTCCGAAACAAATATATTTTACAGCAAAGAACAATTCCTGCTGTCTAGCAGTAGCATATAATTATATATTATCAAATCTACAATTAGCGAATAATGCGTTCTCCATGTGTCTACTGGTTTCATCAAAAAAATGGTACTTCTCTACGATAATTCAGGGAAAAAAGCAAAAGTATGTATCTCCAAGTATCTAATAAACAATAATTTTGGCATATCATGGGAACCAACCAAAGTAGTGTGTCAAGCAAACCGACCAAACGTTATAATCAACTAAATTATAGGGAAGAGGATTAAAAAATAAGACTGTCATAAAATCTTAATGAGAATTAAACCACTGCACTTGCTCATTTCGCTGTACTTCATTTTTAAGGATACTAGTTTTACAAAATCAATTTTTCCAGTTCTTCGACTAGTGAACTTATTTGACATTTTATTAAAAAAATAAAATGTCTACAACGTATTATAAAACTAAGAAAAGAAAAATAACCATAAGAAATCGATATGAAATGGAACTATAAAAAGTAACATAGAGTCGCTGAAGATAACTTCCAGCAGCAATAACAGTTGATCTGAAATTTAACTGTATGAGCTTTATTTTTCTCAAATAGTAATCCCAGAGCTGAATGTTTTATCCATTTTCTAGAGCCCTGCAACAAATAATTTAGTGCAATAAATGTGAAAAGAGGCAAATACGTTTCCATCAAAAAATTATCAAATTCTTTAATGACAACAATATTGTGATAAAGTTTTTATAAGTGAGCATTTGGAAATAAGAAAGCTTGTGTGTACTCACTGAGATTACTAAGTTTATTTCTTATAACTTCCTATAACATCTAATCTCTGCCCGAAATTTAAATAACCTATTTTCTGTAGAAACGAAATTTAAATAACCTATTTTCTGTTTTTGAATTAGACTGCTTTGCAAATAACAATGTTGAAAATAAATAAAATTAATATTGATGTCTTTGTTAAAGCATTTTGGAATGTTCCAGTTCCATTTGTTCCCTGTCTTCTTCATCATCTACCAATAAACGGTCAGCAAATGTACTTGGGATATTGTCCTCAATCCATTTTAGTTCCTCCTAAAAATAATAGAGCGTGTAAGGAATGCAAGTTTTTAAAACTAAACGTGCCCGCGCTCGTATTATCAAACCTGTCACTTTTTTTTTTGCATCCTGCCCGATTCATTAACTTTATATACTCCCACTATCATATTTTCACGGTAGAAAATATGACAGAAAAATGAGAATATAAATTAATGTAGTAACACATAAAAAAACACGGTTCATACCAATCACTGACAATGAAGTTAATAAGATTGTAACTTTTTATCTTTGCTCAGCTCATATCTCAAACGGAAAAAAAAAAACGCAGTGCGATGCTTTTTTGACTAGTTCTATATAAACACCGGCTTAATTGTTGAAAGCAATGAAAAATTATGTTAGTTTCTTTGGAATATTTTGGCAACAGAAATCATTCAAACCTGCAACTTCCGGTCATTTTCTTGAGCTTTATGTTGCTTTCTGTTAGAGGAACTTTCTTGACCACGGGAAGAAGCATAAGCACTCGCAGCAGCAGTTCGCTTATTTAATCCAGCCATCGCATAATAATTGGTGTTGAAAAGCTCGTCTGCACCTTCGATTAAATGTAGGAGTAGCTCGACGATAAACTGGGTAAGCAATTATTATAGTCCAGTATCACAGATAACCGACTTCATTTTAAGTTATCTCAATTCTTCTTTCTGATTATTTTGCGTTTACATACGTGTTGTTTCAATTCTTCGTGTTGAAATCACACACTTACCGTCATCATTTTCATCCTCACTATCATCGAGCAGTGGAGTGAAAGCATAGCGTTGATTGTTGCGTGATGGACGCCATAAAATCATGATAACAACCAGAATGCAACAAAACTGAATATGCCAAAATGCTGTATCCACCCAGCTGTAAAATTAGTTGGAAATAAGTTTATGGATTACTTTTATCTTAACCTGATTGATCAGCCATCCAATTATTCCTCATATAAAATGAGAAATCGAGAAAATTTTTGGGAGTGAGCTCTCGAAGTGTAGTCAAACTCCAACTCCATTCGAGAAAATCCTATCATGTTATATATATATGACCAGTATACACGTGAACCACTCACTATTCTTTCCAATCAACTAAACACCGCTGCATATTGTGTATATAGATTGTCCAACACATGAATATTATGCTTATAAAAGCCGAAAAGCACAACGCGTTAGTGAAATGACGGTATACAGAAAGCTTTACCTGAAAATGAATTTTAATTTGGAAATGTGAACTGGAATAATCGAACGAATTTAACTGAGCACTAAAGATCATAAATATATGCGGTTTGCCTTCCACAATTTCAATCTAATTTCAGATGAAAGATATAATTTCGAATAACGTCCAAATTTGTGCAAAAAAATTTTTTTGGGATTAAAGGTATAGAGGACGTATAGCAGTAAAATAATACTTCAAAAAACCTCAAAAGTCGAACAACCATGGAACTCACCAGAAAAAAACTAAAATACACAAACGAATCCCTAGATATGTTCTTCTGACCAGATGGCCTATTTAGTATCAACAAAATATATTAGTCTGCTGAAAGAGTAAACCTACCATATTTCTTCTCATTCTCAGTACTCGCATAGTACTGATGAGTGACGTAAAAATCCACCAAAATATAACTACTTCAACCAGTACCAATGGTAAAGCTGCTAATTGCTTTTGTTTCATCCCTTCCACTTGATTCTGAAATATTTGTGGATAACAATAATCAGGAAAAAATATTGCTATTTTGATTTTTTTTTGATTCCAATTACTGTTTAAAACTAAAGCAAAAGCATTACGATGCATTTTAAGATTGATTTTCCGAAAGCGAAAATGCTTGAAATACCAAAAAAAATTTACAAACAAAAATACCTTGCTAACCCTGGCGATCGCTTCTATAGCACTGAATACAAAGTAAATGAAACCCACGCCAATTACCTTAAAATAAACTTGTCTTCTAATAAATTTTTTTCGTTTACAAATGTTTTCACTTCAAAATTAAGAATAATTTGTTTCGTGAGGTTAACTAATGGACATTACCCAAGTAAATAAGCAAATAACAAGTAGGGCGAAAAAAGTTGACCTGACTAATAGTACTGCCAAGTCTTGGTTTCACAACGCCATAGCCAAGTGAAACTATTATAATCAGTACACGAGCCATCGTTCGTTTCAAACATGAGACCAACTCTGCCGCCTAAACCAACGAATATAGATGATTATCACAGCTAGTAAACAAATTTTTCAACAACCAACACATTCAAATGAAAAAAGTATTAAGAAATCAATCAGTCCCATATCATGATGTAAAAAGAGTAGATTGAAAAAACAATGAGGATTTAAATTTCAATAAGAATCAGTTACCTCAAT